AAAAAAAAGAGGTCTGTCTTATTGCAGGTGCTTAGTTTCCCTGTGGCAAAGCAGTTTTGAAGGTTTTATGACTTGTTGGATAGCCTGCTGGTCACCACATATTATACAAAGTGAGTCTGGAGAACGTGAAGTATGGTTTCAATGAACCCATAATTTAAGTAGGACCCTTAGTATTTTTTTTTAGATGCAGCTTTCCTTTTGCTGGCTTCTTAGAGTATTCTGCTGTCTCATCATTGGATCTGTCCCCCTTTTCAAAGAAGCTTTCCAGTGGCATTTGCTTTTTACTCATTTTGGCAAGGGTTAGCTTGCAGGTTTACCAAAACTGACTGAAACAAACAGGCAGTGCAGGAAGGGGCACTGATGGAAGTGGTTCGTGAAATGACGGGCAGGCCACCTGCAGACTAAAAGCAGTGTTGTAAACCTGCTGTAAAAACCAGGTGCAGCTGTACAAATGAAGTACAACGACTCACTTGCCACTGTCAAGGCTGCCATGAAACGTAGCTAAATGTCACTTGCCACTCGCTGATAGGATTTTGTTATGAGTCTGCAAGTGATTGATTTAGTCTCTGTTCAGCTAAGCCTCTCTGCTAGTGTTAATCTATATTTGTGGCCCCTCCCCAGCATTAATATCACTTTCCCAGCTCCACCTCAGATCATCAGGCCCTAGATTCTTATGCAGAGCACATACCTAGAGCTGCGTGCACAGCTCACAGGAGAGCTTGCCCTCCTATGAGACTCTAATGCCACTGCTGACCTTACAGGATGTGGGGCTCAGACAGTAATGTGAGTGAAGGGGGAAGACTATAAATACAGATGAGGCTTCTCTTGTTAGTCTACCACTCACCTGCTATGTGGCCTGATTCTTAACAGGCCGCACACTGGTATCTGTCTGTGGCCCTGGGGGATGTTGACCCGTGCCCTGCGTGGTACTGAAAATGGAGAAGGCAGCTAGATCTTGTCAAAGCGATGGAAGAGACCTTGTGAGTCTGTAGGAGACCTACAGAAGAAGTTGGTGATAGACCCAGGTAACAGAGATAGAATGTTATTGGCACAGAAAGAAACCTTAGAGATGATTTTCTAGTACAGAAAACCAAGATCAGGTACTTGGAAAACAGCTAAGTACTGATTATAAACCATGGAGAACACAAATGAGTTTCAGAGAAGAGAGGATAGGTTTGGTGAGCAGAATAGAATGGGTGATAAACTTTGCAGATGGGGAAACCAGAAAATAGAGAGGATAGAAAAAAGCATGGGCTCTCTGATGTGGCAGTTCTTAAAAGTGACAGCAGAAAATCATGTTGGAAATTTTATCTGCAATACCATAGAGAAAATTGTTTCATTTTTTTGGAGGGAAAAAAACTATGCTGGGCATACAAAAACATACGGAAGAAGGAGACCAGAGTGGGCAATCAGACCCGAACAGGCTAGAATACCCAACTGTGTGCCTGGCATTGTGCATACGGGAAGAAGGGGGAGGCAGGACAGGGAGGAGGCGAGTAGGCAAGATCTGTCTTTCTTGTTGCTTTTCCGGCTACAGTAAATGGATTTTAAAATGAGCGTGCAATGCTGCAAATCTGGGCTTGCCAGAGAAGCAACTCTGATGAGGACAACCGAAGCCCCGCAACTGCTCATCTCTCCTCCTCTTCCTTTCCCGCAGTGCACAGCATTGATTATCCTCCTGCATAAGGCAATTTCAGAATGAAGGGTGACGTCAGTATTAATCATAGTGAAATTTGACAGAGCAGAGAGGCCCCCCAGACACACTGCAGCCATCTGAAGCTCTTATGCTCCCTCCAGTTGCATACAAGTGCCAGGGCATTGCAGCCACGGGAAAGGGAGGGTTCTGTAGAGAGGATTACGCTCCCTCTGGGCATTCTTCTCCCCCAGCCTGTCTCATTCACACCTTCTCATGATCTCTTCATGACGATGTGGACTTGGAGGATTTTTTGAGAAAAGAAAGAGAATATGTTCCTGTTACAACTTCATTTTGAAACGGCAAACTTTCTGTTCAGTTGATATAACTCATTACCACTAGTCTGGGAGGATGGAAAGCACACCAGGAACCGTGGAGACAAAGTAAAGCTTTATTTAACACTGGTGGACCAGTCTGCTTTCAGACTCGGGGGACTGACCCCGTCCAGCACTCAGCAAAAGGAGGACTCACTCTTTGGGCGGTGTGGGGTTACAGATAAGGTGCCTCTGACAGACATTCGTTGGTTACAGAGTTTGAATATTTGTTAGCAGGTGGGCTCAGTCATGGTATTGGCTCACACGTGATGCTGGCAACATGCTTATAGGGTAATTTAGAATATAAGGCTTAGTGCTCGCTTCGGCAGCACCTGTAGAATATAAGGCTTCTATTTGCATTCTGGCAAAATGACAAAACTCTTCTAGAGACAAAGACATTCCTGAGCTCGGAAATGTGTGAGGCAGGACAGACCCAGACATGTTGCACAAAGAAAATTTCGAGTAGGGACTTTCCCTGTAGTAAGTCCAGCTTGAACCATGGAGACAAAATTCCCCTTTCAATAATGCTCAGTGTAGGGTACAGAGCGGACTGAGTACAACCAAAGCTGGCCATGCACTTGTGCCATGCAGACCCAGGGCTTCCCTCCAGAGGCCACCATCTCCTGTATCTTCTACATGGGCATCAGGTAGAAGGTGGACAGGTGGATACATCTCAGAGCTAGGGACAGAAAGGGGCATCCAAAGATCACCTGTGCCCTCTGCTTATAAGGACGAGCAAATGGAAACCATGCTATATATATTAAGTATCTTGTTTACAGATTATGTTTCTCTGAGGTACCTCACAAATGAGCTCCACGGCAGCTATTTAGGGTCAGTCCATCACAATCAAGAAATTATGCCTGACCTTTCTGGCTTCCATTTTGGGCTCTTCCCTTTCATTCACTTGTGGAGAGACACAGTGGAGGGTTAGGGTCTTCCTGATCAGCAGCCTTCACATGCTTAATCTCGTCTTCCTAAAATGTACTCGTTTCTGAAATGTTTCCTCATAGCTTCCATTTTCCTGCCATTAAATAATTATTATTATTTGACATTGAGCCCTTCTTCAAGTAGTAAAACCCTGTGCTCTCCAGTTTCATTTCTTGCAATCAACAACAGTGACCACAGTGTGACATTAAGTGTGTGCCCATGCACTTGTATGTGTGTATCAAAGAGAGAGAGATTGAGGAGATGGAACTTCCTGTCGCTACAACAACTACCAAGAAAAAAATCAACTTACAAAGAGAAAAGTTTTACTTTGGCTAACAGTTTTGGAGCATTCAGCCCATGATTGATTGGCCCCATTGCTCTGGACCTGTGGCAAGATAACATATCATGGTGGTAGCCCATGGTGAGGAAACCCTCACCTCGTGGCCAGGGGCAAAGAGAGAGGAAGGCTTGCATTGGGACAGTTACCATCCGTACTGCAGCAGTTGTGTATGTGCAGAGAGAAATACCCACATGGGATTATCTACAGCTTCGGGCATCCACAGTGGACCTTGTAAATACCCCCTATAAATAAGGGGGACTTCAGCAGTTGTTCTTCTTTAGTCATGAAATCCAAGCTGGACTCCATATTCAGTGAACAGTTTGGCCAATATAAAAAGCAATCACCCAATGATCCCAGTAGTCTAGAATGTGTATCTCCAGGACCACGATGCCCTTTTGAACTATACCATGATGATAACTGGTAGTCATTGCTATCTTATTTTCCAATCAAACATCGGATCCATGTTTCCTAAGAATCCTCCTTCACGAAATATTTCTTCATTGGACCATGGTTCGTTTTAACTGATTATTCAATGAATACATAGGGAAGGAAACACCTGGCTAAAAGACATTGGGGGCAGTAGAAAATGTAAAACATGTTCTTTCAATACTTGTGCCAACCAGGCAGCACCCTTTCCACCTCACCAACAGGTTTTAACCCCATTCCTCATACTCATGCATTCGTGGAAAGAGCCAATGTATGTAAAAATAAATACATTATATATTTTAATGTAATTGGCAGTATGCTTTAACACTACTCTGCATCTTTTTTTAACTCCAATAATCTGGGAGTCTTTCCTCTTTGTTACACACAGATCTCCCTCATCCTATCTTAGGGCTACCTAGTAGTTTACTGAATGGATGAACCATAATATATTTATTCCAAATTTTTCTGAATACTGATTCCATTGTCCAAAACACCCTGTACCAGTGAGACACTGTGGAAGACTCACTATCATACTTCACTGTTCGGCTGTTAACAGAGCTAGGAGTCTGAGTGCCGTGCTATACTGGCACCACAGGGAAGACAGGACACTCTGAGCTTAGCAGCCTCCACTCTCTAAGGGAAAAAGACACAAGGACTAGGACAGCCTGGCAGTTTTTCTCTGTTTTTTTGGGCTATTGCACAGTCTTTTTAATATGTGTTACAAATGCCCTTTCAATGCACCAAACATGTGTTGTGTGCTCAGTCTGGCCTATCATGGCAGCCACTAGAGCAGATATCTCCAACTCCAGTGCCCACAGGGCCAGGAGGGTGAACTCAGTGAGAGTAGCTGGGAAGACTCAAGCTGTGTTCAAGGTTATTTCCCCCGTGCAGGGGTGAAATCAGATCTTCTGATTGATTAAAAGAAGCCAATGGGTAAAAGAGAGATGGGATCTTTCTGTATTGTTTCTTATAATCTAAAATGAAGCCATAAGTATCTCAAAGTAAAAAGCTTAGAAAAGCCCAAAGCCTAGATCATTGTGTGAAATAACATGATTTATAAATATAGGCATCATCACCCTGTACAAGCCTATCAAATCCCGTCTGCAGGCCAGATGTGGGCTTGGGTCCACCATCTTGCTCTCCGTGCTTAGCTGGAGGACGGTAATTTTATTTATACAAAGCCTGAGCAATTCAACCCACAGCCTTGCTTTAAAAGTACTTTTTTCTCTGTGAGTTTCTGTCGCCTTTGACAGTGGCCACCCCCACCTGCTTGTTAAGTCTTCCTCTCCTCTCCTTCCAGGTCCTGGGATGTGGCTGCGTTGCCCAAGCTGTCCTCAGTCGAGGGATTTTTGGAGGCATTGTCACTATCAATGTGGGATTTGCAATGGCAGTGGTAATGGCCATTTATGTGACTGGAGGTGTCTCTGGTAAGTGGAAGAAATAGTAATAGCTACTACTAATGATTCCAATATGCTAGCACTATACTGGGTACATTACATGCCTTAAGTTATTTTGATTTCAGCAATTCTGCAGGAATATGCATCCTATCCCATGTTTATAAGTGACAACATGGCAAACAAATGGGTTAAGTGATTATGCAAAAGCAACATTTAGCAAGCAATAAAGATGGGAGATAGCACTCACAATAGATTCATCCCTACATCTGGCCACTACACCAGAGTCTGCAGATCTACCCCACACCTGGAAACCTTTTCCCAGACACCCAATGATGAGACTGGTGAAGGTCAAGTCGACAGAAACACGTCCCCAGACCTTAATCAGCAGCAGTTAGACAGAGTTGAGGTCTCCTTCAAAATGGATGTTGTTTTCATGGCAATGTTTATCTGATCTAGAAAATCATAATTTAATACTGCTCTTGGAGGGTGCTGACTAGAAGCTGTTCATTCACAAGGCTCTGGGAAACAAAGTGGGATCATATTTAATGTAACCTGGGGATGGAGAAGATGCTCTGAGCAGCCTTGTGGGGTTGAGCATGGATGCAAGATGGTGGTGACAGAGAAAAGGTAACTGAGGAGCCACTGGACCTAGGGAGCTATGCTAGGACCAAGAAACCCACTATGCCTTGGGTACTGCAGGGACCCAGGAAGCCATGGCATCCTAGGCACTGTGCTGGGACCTGACATCTTTACTTTCCTTTCTCCTTTACAAGAGCACTCTGAGGGGGCAATTATTGTCTCATTCTAGAGAAAACAGGCTGAAAGAGATTCAGGAGGTTGCTAGAAGTCCCACAGGAGGTAAAGAGAGAGAAAGATTTTTCCCAGGTCTAGGTGGCAGCAAAGGTAACATTGTTCTATAACAATTTCCAGTGGTCTATTATGGACAAAATAACTCCCCCAGATGTTTCTGCCATTAAGTTGGCCACAGTGGTGACAAATGAGGCACGGGAGTGCCTAAGACTGACTTCCTGGTCCCCTGGGAGCCTCCCAGGTAGGACACCAGTGTGGCTGGCATTGGCTGGCAGCACTCTTTCCTTATTACAGCCAGACTCAGGTCCTGAGGTGGTCCAGTTGTGTGTGTGTGTGTGTGTGTGTGTGTGTGTGTGTGTGTGTGATGTGTTTGCCATGAGCAGTGTCTCCATTCAAGCTCTCAGGAAGCTTTTGCTGAGATCCCAGCATCATACTCTACCCCAGACCAACACTGAGCAGAGCACAAGAACACTCAAGAGTGCAGCAGATGTGCCAGGGCTGGACAGAGTGCAGCTCTGGACACCAGGCACAAGATGCTCTCTTGGCTCAAACTATGAGTCCTCGCACCATTCACTGGCTCATGCTGTGTAGGCGGGGGCCTATCATCAGCTATCTTTTATATGGATATGGTTTTGAGCATTTGGCCTGCCTAACTCCTGAACTGAACACCATCAAGGAGTTACGTAGGCTTCACTGGCCCCACACTCTGCCGGTGTAGTTAACAACCTTCATCATCGCTGCAGACCATATCTGTTTGCATCCATTGTTGTACCTGAAGATTAGGGAGTCATTGTAGGAGGAAAATGGGCCATGACCAGTCAGAAGGATAACAGGAAGCAAGGGGATGGCAGGGAGGCCTCTCCTCTGGCTTCAGAGTTAGAATTAAACCACTGTGGGTAGAGGGATGAGGGTCAGAACTCATGAGACTGTTCTTGCTGGGAGCTGTGTTTCTAGCGAAGCGATCAGGACCTGACCAAATTGTTTATGAGAGACTAGGAGACCCCAAAATACAAATAGAGCCTGGTCTGAGTGTAGCTGGAGACAGCCGGATTGGGTGAGAATGTGTGTGGCGATTACCCTATCTCTAGAACCTAGCACAGTTCAGAGTCCCTCAAGACTGGTGTCCTGGGGACACACAGGGACAACACTTGGGCCCTGCCTGACATCCACACAGGCAAGAGCATCAGTACGGGCTGAAGAGCTGCAGGAATAGGAGGTGACTTCCTTACGGTAGCTGCAGCTAACATTGCTTCATGGCCACATATGAGGCCCTCTTTGAGGATTCTTTTGTTTTTGACATCCGGTGTATACTAGCGTAAATGTATGTGATCCCATCTTGTGCTCACACACTGGTGAGGTCAACTGCCATGCAGCTTTTAAATGTAAGACTTTAGTAAAAGGAAGTTACAGCAGCCTGCTCCTTTGTGAATATGCCAATCAAAATCAGCCAATCAGAATTCGAAGCAACCTTATTGTGCAACATGTGATACCAAGTGTTTAGGTTGCCTGCTGTTGCTTATTCTTGAGGTAGTATTTTATAATTAAAGTGAAATCATTGAAAAAGCAAAGTAGCCATGCTTCATGGCAAGTGAAATATAAGGTATCCATTTCACAGACTCGTCTATGGTGGGGAGGAGAGATGTGCCTAGCACAGAACCACAAAAGAGTTCCCTCTGCTCACCTTGTGCCTCACACACCCCAGCTGCAGCCTAGACGTTTTACAAGAATAATCTGATCTGATCGTCACCCTGAACTTTGCAAGGCCTGTGTTTGAGTGTGGGATTCTCTGACTCCAGCTCTCAAGTTCTTACCAGCACACTGTTGTACCTTGTCCTTGTGTAAGCCTGGGAGAACTTTCTAGTGGCCTCTTGGCTCCCAGCCTAAGGGCACAGGATGACACTGATCCCCTCCTTTCCGGAACCCTCCTGTCACCTCTCTGGCCCTTTTCTTTGTTGCTTTGCAGAGAGCCCCCCACATATGCCCTCTCAAACAACTTTCCCTCTGTGTGGATCTCTGAGTTGTCTCAGTAAGGCCTCTGGCTGCTTCTTCAACTTTTTCATCTTAAATGCCTGCTGAGTGCCTGGGTTTCACGAGGTCCGCAGTGAATAACAGTCCCAACCTGAGCTGACTAACCATCCTCGCCTCTGTGGGACTCTGATTTTGGAAGAGGCACACCTGAGGGAGATGTTGCTGTTGGGCACAGCCTCCTAGAGCCCCTGTCCATTCTTTCACATAGGGCAGCTGCTCTGCTGCACCTCCAGGAGAAGAGGAGCAGGTGCTACCTCCAGGAACTGTCCGCTGCCCGTGTACCTCAACGGAGCCCAATTTTCAGCCGTGCTAGCTCTCATCCGTGGTCATCTGTTGTGTCCAGAACTGAAGCTCTCAGTTTTAAAAGTAAAACCCAGCAGATGAAATGTTTATACGGTTTGAGGAAATGACCTGGGCTTTGACAGCTGCCTAATCTTGCTCAGTAGCCCCCAAGTAGCAGAGGCAGATGAAGAAAGGATGCTTGTGACCTGGTCAGAAGCTAGAAGGCCCTGCAAGCCATTTTAGCTTGGGGGCAGAGGAAAAGCATGGCTCTTTCCTGGGGGTACACTGGCTGCCCACATTCTGAGGAGGGGCGAATAATGCAGATCATCTTCTTCATCGCCATATCATCTCTCTCGTTGACAGTTATGCGCACAACGTGCAGTGTGGTCACCTTGACAGTGACCGATCCTCCTCCATGTAACATCATCTGGGTTCCTTACATGAGCATACTTCCCCCCTGGAAAGTGAACCCGTGTACTCAGAGTCACTTTTTTCAATTCTTTCCTTCCCACCCAGTCAAGCAGAGGAGACTTTATAAGCCTACTGAGGAAGAGGTGGAGTGGAATAACGGGACATGAGCTCTGGGGTTCAGCAGAACCTGGCCTTTGATCCTGGTCCTGCTACTTACTGGCCATGCAACTTGAGGAAGTCACTTTGCTCTGTTTCTTGATTTCCTCGCCTGCCAAGTAGAGCAGTACCCATCTCATTGGGGTCTTGGGAAGAGCAAGTGCATTCATTGCCCCCACATTGAATGCACTGGCAAGTATGCCATAAATGTTGTTCCTACCAAACCCAGCTAGGAAAGATAGGGACCTTCCACAGAGCACGTTTCTCTCTCTCTCTCTCTCTCTCTCT